TACATCTAAATAAATCTTCTGTACTCCTTTTCTAACATGATCATCTCGGGATAAATTTATTACTATAAATATTGGTGACGTTCAACGCAAAATATGTGGCAAACAATTCGACAGTTTACTTTTTCACTTCAAGGCCAGTTGAAGATCTACTCTAAAACATCAAATGAGAAAACAATTTTTAAAAACAAAATGTAATGTTTACAGTTCTGAAATAAAAAAAATGCTCTATCAAATGGCACAAAAAGTAAAGAGACTTCCATAATAAACAAACAAAGTTGATGATAATTAATCCGAGACGAAAAGTTAAGACTTAAAATTTAAAACTAGCATCTTGTAGAGGGAAAAAATGACCATAATGATGTGTCATTTATTTTGAAATATCTTTTTAAAGAACTTCGGTAAAAAAATAAAAACGATTTCGATTTCGTTTCTTCAGGATATCTCCGAAAGTAGTCGGAATTTTTCAGTTTCAAAACGGCATTTTGTTATGCATCAAAATACGCCACTTTTCCAAATTGAAACTGCCGACCTATCCCTTACAGTTTCCGACATCCCCATGGTGGTCCTCGAATTTGAATCAACCTGTATACCTTTTACATATTTTTTGTAATTCAACAATTTCTAATAAATCACTGTTTCATACTGTGTAGCTCACAAAAGATACAAGACAATATAATAATTTATTATTAAAACTTTCACAAGGAACATCTTTACGTCAAGGCAGTTAGGACTGAAGTTAGCTTTATACCAAACATCTCCCCTTTTACGCTGCAACAAAGTCTCTAAACTTTGCAGGCTGTTTGACAGCCCTACCACATCTAGTTCTTACTACTGGAAGGCTTTCTTGAAATTGATTGTTATTTGATGCTTTATTTAAATTTTCTGTATCAGTAGCTTTAGTTTCAGAAAAACCTTCTTCGTAAGGTAATCCCGTAAATCTAGGTACATTTAAAGATTTTCTAATATGCATACTATTTCTATTTAATGTACGTTGCGTCTCAGTCAATACTTTATAATTACGTGGTGTTTGACCTACATCAATAATTTTTGCTCTTTCCCACACTTTTCGTAAAGGGTTTTGCACGACCACATCATCCCCTTTTTTAAACGGCTCCCTTTCCCTAGACGTTTTATCATAACAATGCTTAATACTAGCCTGATTATTAACCAACTTCTCATATGCGCTATTATATACTAATTTTGGTTGTAAATTAGAAAATGTAGCCGGAATCTTAGATCTTAATAATCTACCCATTAAAATTTCCGATGGCGAGTAATCTAAGCCAGCGACAGATGTTACTCTATACTCTAACAATGCTGTATAAATATCTTCAAGACATTTAGCTTTTTTAATGATACCTTTAGCCACTCCTACTCCTTTTTCAGCCAGGCCATTGCTTTGATGGTAATGAGGACTTATATAGGAAATATCAAAATTACAATCTGACGCAAATAGTTTAAACTTATAGCTACAGAAAGGATTATTGTCACAAACTATTATTTTTGGTATACCATGATTTGAGAATATACACTTCAATTTCAATATGATTTCTTCTATACATTTACTTTCTATAGGGATTATATCTAACCACTTAGATAGACAATCAACTGATATAAGGTAACATTTACCACCATATTCCCCAATGTCAATTGCGATTTTCAAAAATGGCAATTGAGGAATTTCTTGTGAAATAAGAGGTTCCTTAACATTAGACCTTTGAAATTTTTCACACTCTGTACATTTACTAACAAAATTTTCTATCATTCGCCATTTTTTTCTTAAAGTCAAAATAACTAAAAGACCATAAATGATATACATCAAAAGAACTGAAATTTCACGTGGAATCCAAAAATGCAATAAAAAATAAGGGTAGCCATTTAAAATAACGAAGTTACAAGCTACGTACGGTATTTCCGGAAGTGCGATCATTTTGAAAATAGTTTACATCGGCCTTCAGAGTAACTCCTAAGTACAAATTTTCAAAAACCTACCTACTTCACTTTCCCAGAAACGTTTAACTACAGCTCCTTAAAAAACACCCTGTATAGTAATAAGACATGTCATAAATAGAACAAGTGAAGGTAATATTCATACGCTTCATTCGCAGTCAAGCACATACATATCCTTGACGTGAAACGTATAGCCAATTTATTTTTTAAAAAAACCGCAAACTTTGCATCTGACATTAATCTCAACCCCATTTAAAAAGCGCTTCAAGTTCAACATGCTCGAAATTGCGATTTGTACGGTACAGCACTTGCATGTTCAGTTTCAATAAATATCTCGCAGATTTATACCTATACTTATTTATGTGTAGGTATACCAAAATTCGACCTTGCGTACCTATGAAATTACTTTAACCGTAGTTGCATACTAAGGGCGTAAGAGACCGAACTGATTTCAATAAACCTAAATTAACAATATACTCAACCCAATTTTATGTGAAGTAATGGAATTTTGATTTTCCATGCGCATTTTAAGCCGAAATTATTCCTATGACGAACACAAACCTAATTAACAATTAAAGCGAGTTTTTTTTATAAGATGCCAAAATGTTGAATGGGAAATTAGAAAGATGATACCTTCATTTTAACGCAGATTAATATTCCATATTTCTCAATTCCAAACGGTAATATGTTATAATAAACTTTAGAAAGCGCCTATATCCTTCTGATTTATTAGGCCATTAAGGATGCGTAAGTAAATAGGTTTCTAAATAATGATTTAAAGAATTATTGCTGGGGTATTATTCGAACATCTAGCACGATGCCGCGAGGGGTCAAACTTGCTTTATGTGCCCGCAATTTATTACATACGGACTGACGTTATGTTTTGATGAAAAGATCCCATGCAGTATTTTTCTTAAGCCTAGTAAATTTGTATCGTTAAATTACCTAATTTCCTTCTCCGTCACATGCTAGCAGTCTATCAAAAAAGTTTTCCAAATTAAATTTTCAAACATCTACAACTTCAGACGGTGGCATTCAAAAACTTTTCCGTGATCCAAAAGATCCAATCGGTATGAAAATTAAATCGTAGTAAATTGTAGCTTAGAAGATGACTTTAAGGGAGCCTTACTTTAGATACAATTACCATGTTTGTTATGGAATGAAGTTGCATATGAAGGAGGGATTCTTTTCAATAAAGTTTGATCTCCTATATGAGCTTTACAATTAAAAAAAAAAAATACTCACCAACGGCTAGCTAACACAAAGTTTACTGTGATTAACTTACTTACTGAAGATTTCTTGTTTCATAATTTCCTGTAATTTAACTTCAAATAGTGAAAGAATTCTAAGTAACGTTTCCGTTTACAGATGTAACTATTTTCTCTATTAACTAGATTAATTTTCGGGCCAGGTTTTTTACGACACATTTTACACACAGTTCACCTAAAGTATTATAGTCATAAACGGACCAACTAATTAGGTCCTCTCTATTGAGAGGAGCCAATTTTAGATCAATAACTGATTTATTTTATTACCTAGCAAATCCAATTCTAGTGGGTCTCCAAATGGTAAAATACATGCAATGCCAAACGGGCTTCAAATGCCTACAGGTTAACCTCTTTAAGAATCTGCAGGGTGTCCTATTAAGAAATGTCACAGGACATATCTATGGAACCGTTAATTGCACAGCGTGGGGAAAAGGTTTTGTTAATTAATTAATTTATTTATTTATTGTCCCTCTCTTGTTCTGGGCGCTCAACAGGCTTTCGCCCAATTGCAGAGAGACCCGCATAATGATTTTTCTTAAGTTGTTCTATACTACTCCGGTATTTACCTTACGAATTAGGAAGAATGCTCGAAACTGATCTAAGGAAATGTCCATATCTGCCACAGATGAAAAATTCACCTCAACCCAGGTTCGAACACCCGACCTCTCGACTATGTGCTATTCATTTAAAAGTAGACATTTCTACTTTTAAATGACAAAAGTCCTGTGAAAGACGCCTAATTTTATGCAACTTCTGGATTTTAATGAAAACGGCAGTAAATAGCCGATTCTTGTTTACAGTAATAAATTATTTCTATTTCTTTCGCGCTTTGACACCTAACAATCGAAATCGAACGTGAACCACGCAGTGACTACTCCAGTGGCCATGAAGCGAATGCTTTCAACTTTTTCTTGCAGATTATATTATATGATGTCTAGTAATTAAGTCAACCAATTTTCTTTAAAATCAATATTATTGAAAGTATCCCGAGTTCTTAATTTGCAATGTTACGATTTGGACGTTAATTTCATCGCTGCATAATTTTTTTGTCTGCACCTTTGGTTACAGGAGCGCCAATTAAGATAGTATTTGCTCTGTTTCTGCGACTTAATGTCGCCCCGGTTTCCGTAACCCATAAAAATTCATTGCCTCATAGAATTCAAATGACTCAGCAAATAATTCCACCATTTATTTACAGATTTCGGATTCGGTAAACAAAATAAAACCAAATTTATAGCTACCGTTACAGTTGCTAGGCATAGAAATTTTTTAAACCGATAGTAACCTGTGCTAAAATACTTGTACCAGTCAAACGGGTTTTAGTAATTTTACGAATTCAAAGTGAAAGATATAGATGAAAAGATTATGGTAAGTAACACTATTAACTAATACAATTCTCCGAATTCTGCATTGAGAGAAAATATGAGTCAACAGCTATTACTACTACTGGGAAAATCACTGAGACGTTAATGGTGGGACATACAATATCAAATTGCAAAAATGGTTTAAAAGAGCCAGTGTAACATGGGAATGAGCTCATTTCAAAAATGCAATGTTTAAAGCTACTCCAGATGCAAGAGTTGCGAATGACGGCGGGTCCAAGCCAACGAGCAGCTAATTCGGTGACTTTGGACAAAAAAAAGCGTAAGGGCTATGATGAATGTCTGGGATGAAGATGGACCGGCACCTGAGGGATTTGAAAGAAAATTATTTATTATTGTCTCAGTGGAGTTAGTGTGGAGAGGAAATGAAGGATTGTAGGCATTAGTACCCTGCTTCAAGGAAGAATTGGGAAACCATGGGACACTGGAGTGGTGCGGCCAATAATACTGTACGGTACCTCTAGTATTCCATGCGCATGGGAACCTACGGAAAGCAGCTAGGAAAATCAAGTCAACTTTGGTCATGGAGGCACTTCTGGGAGTAGAGCCTTTACATTTAGCTAGTGATGTTAAATTACACGTTTTTTTTAAGTGCGCAATATTACGTGTAAAATTACCAATTGTTTATGTTTTTTATGTAATTTATGTAATTAATGTAACTTACCATTTTTTTAAAAAAACCGTAATTTTACAGTAAAATTACCAGTAATTTATGTTTTTTATGTAATTTACAAATATTTTTGTAAAATTACCTGTCATTTATGTTTTTTATGTTTTTTTTAATATTCTACAAACCTTTTTGAATTTTGTGAGTGTTTGAAAATAAAAACACTTGTTAAATTATATATTTTGGTGTATTAAATAAAATACCCAAGCAGTAGGTATTTCGCCATCACGCGTCGTTTGGAGGAAGAAGTTCCAGATCGCGAATTAGAGGCTGTATCATCTTCATTAAACCAAACTAAATTCAACGGTGAATCGTTTACGTTGGTAGTACCGTTGATGGTCTGTGGTAGTACCGATCAAAATGTATCAAATAGGTATTACATTTATGTAACTTACAAAAATTACGGTTTTTTAAATAAAAAACGTAAGTTACGTAAGTTTCATAAAAGACATGAATTACATAAAAAAACCAACCTCTTGTAAGTTACGCGTAATATAACCGTTTTTTATGTCACTTACAAATCGTTATTTTACAATCCACATCACTACATTTAGCTGAAAAGGCAAAAGCTCAGAAGACTTCCCTGTCTAAGCTGGCCGTGGCAACACTTAACTTCCGAGCGAAAATGCATTTGTATTTATACCCTCTCTCTTAGTGTCTATTGTAATTAAGTTCCGCCTATCTTACTACGACGAAACGTTTATAAGGTTTACGCAGCTCTTTTACAAGCTTTTGTTAGTTTGAACTTCGTACTGAATAGACGCATTTGAACAGATTCTCTTTGCGGATATTTAATTATAATGAGTCATTTAATCACCTGATCCTGAATATACATACGGAAAGCAGATTTTATGGTCCTATCTATTTACATGTGAGATAAATTTGCCTTCTTAATCGCGATTTTTACTTTATATTGCTAATTCCCTTTTAGCCTCCTCACGGTCAAATAATGAGCCGTGTGGTGTATCACTAACGTGCAGGTTATCTGTCAAATACGTCGTTTTGCGTTAACGTAAAATAAGGATTTTTGGCAGATAACCTGCACGTTAAGTTTGACGTTTCTGATACACCACAGGGCTGAATATCCCAATTCGGGTCAAAGTAAATGAATATATTACTATATTACATTCAAGATTACGTGCATACATAAATACACCAATTTTATCAATCAAGAAAAATGTTTGTACAAGCAAATCCCGTTACGGATTCTATGCCTTCCATGTCTTCCCCTTTTCTTCCTATTTTAAATTCCAGTTGTCCAACGTGTTCAAACTATTTCAATTTTTGTCTATCTACGAGTATAGGTCTCTATGAGCTTCCACTTCCAGGTCCTTTCCTATTATTTTACTTGAAATTCCTCTCACCCCTCGCACCCTTCGCAATTACTCCATTTCTGTGGTTTGTAGTAATTAGTATTTTTTGTGATTCGTTCTTTCTCTTTTTCATCATTGACCCCTTTGGTCACCAAATGTCATCTCCTCTATAACGATACCATTTA